TTATTTTAAAGTAAAACAATAATAATTATATAAAATAAGGATACATATAAATTCCAAAATTAATGCTTATTTATATAATGAGCAAAAAATACAAAAAATATATGATAAATTGATTATTTATTTTTAAAATAGGATTTCAGAAAGCGTAAGCAATTTATACTTTTATCACTCAGCCTAGTTCTAAGCTTTGTGAGGAACAATCCGGCAGCAGAAAATGCTCTCTCGGCTTCAACTGATGTTGGAGGAATTGTTTTTAAGGCCTCACATAGTTTTATAATGGTTGGTGATGGATTTTCAGTCAAGTCGAACAACTGCATTTCTTGTTTCATGATTTTGTTGAAACTAGTACTTTTTTTGGTTTTGAACAATATAAAAGTCTTGTTTAAGAGTAAATTGATTTCTCTAATTTTTCGTCCAACGTCAGAGGTTTTTCCTTTCAAAATCTCCATTATCTCTTCTTCTGAGTGCATAGAGTTGGATATTGATTCCTTTTCTTCGCAAAAAAGCCTTGTCCCTATCTCATTTGGGCTTGTTTAACCAAACAACTTTTACTAGGCAATCGTGAAATATCGACAATAAAAAGTCAAAAATAGCTACCTCATAGATAATTGAAGCTCCGTGGGATTCCTGAGAACGAAGTATAATTCCCGGAAATAAAAAAAGTACAGAAATCTTATGATTTCCCGGGATCCCGGGAAAGAAACCTTAGTTTCAACAACCTTTATTCCCTCACTATGTAATATTTTTTGATAGTTAGATTCAGCATATGATATTTAGGAACTTCAACGGGTCTGCACTTGGAGGTTTCTCGACCTGCAAGGGTGTGGCCGAGTTATCCGTACTGCCAGGTTATCGAGTATCGAGTTTTCGGGACTCTACTGCTGTATCATATTTTATGACAAACTTACATGTGTAAATGCAACAACAAACAGTTTATGAAAGACATTTGAGTGAGATGAAAAAATATCTTACTTCTTTACTTAACTCAATACCGACCTTAGTTTACATGGAAAGTTATAATTATGTATTTATTAACTAATTATGTATTATTTGTATAAACAAAAACACAACCAATTTTAAACTACTGGAATAATTTCGAAGATTAATATTATTATTATTATTTAGTTCTTGTAAAAATAAAAATGACAAATGCTCTTTTTGACTCAACACAAATTTTTTCTTTTATAAATAGAATCCTTATCAACGTGTTTCCTGTTTCAATGCAGTTAGAAAACAATTAAAAAAAGAGTCTCAATCAAAATAAGCGTTTTCTTTAAAACAGTATCCAAGTATTTTGAAAATAAATATTCTGTTTATAACTATAATTTCTGCTGAAAAGTAAATTGTCCAATTTGTATTTGATTAAAGTCAATTTTTTTCTTTTTTGCTGTTTTATATAATTTGATTTTAATTTCACATAATTAGAGTGAAATCAACAATTCAGCGAAACACATTTTGTTAAAAAAATAAATGAAAAAATACATATTAAAATAAAAAACATCGCCCAAGGATTTGAGGAAATTCCAAAATACACTATCATTGGATGTTGTTGAAGAGGTGTTTTTGACAAAATTACGCAAGATAAAAAAATTGATCTTTTAAAATAAGGATAAGGAGAGAGGAATTAAGGAATTCTTCAAAACATACGTGATCGGAATTATTAGTGTATATATATATAGAGAGAGATTTCTTGGTCTTTTTTATATTCTATAATAAGGCCTTATTTAGGAATTCTATGAAATTTAGTTTAAAATTTTTCGGCGTTTTCTAAACTTTCAATTACACTGCTGATCACCGTAAATGCAACACCTTGAAGGATGCATACAAATAAGATGGAATTTACAACATGCATTAGTGAAGGTGAGATATGCAAATGATTAGAATTTCAGCGCAGACACACATCACGTGCGCCTCTGGTGTCACCTCAAAACGCTATTTAAGGCTTGGAGATTTCAACGATTTCAAATTCGGCAATTGTATTTTTCTTGTGGTTTTTTCAAAAAACGATCAGTTATGTCTCGTAGAAAACAGCAATCAGCATTGGATCAAGTATCCGAGTTCGACAGAGAAAGCATGGAGGCCTACCGAGATATTGTGGATTATCTTTCAGAAAAATCAGTAGTCATGTTGGACGAAATCAAACAATTGTAATGCGGATATGTGACCGTTGGATACAAGAGGGTACGATGGATCGACGTGGTAGATCGCATCCACTTCAGTGCACCACTTCACGTGAGGACAGGCAAATTTTGCGCATGGCAGTGACGGATCGCTCAACTACATCTTGAACTATAGCACAGCACATTGAGTCTGTAACGCATTATTCAGTGTCTGCACGTACCATTCGACGCCGTTTACAGCAGATTGGTCTGTCCGCAAGACGTCCATTGCTTGGTCTACCCTTGACGCAGAGCCACAGACGTCTCCGCCGCCAATGGTGCGATGAAAGAAGGATGTGGGTGACAGAATGGAATAAAGGTGTCTTTACTGACGAGTCACGCATCTGTCTGCAACACCACGATGGTCGGATTCGAGTCTGGAGACACCGTGGAGAGAGGATGCTGAACAGCTGCGTTATGCACCGCCACACTGGTCCTGCACCGGGTATTATGGTATGAGGCAGTATTGGATATCACTCTCGCACTCCTCTAGTACGCATTGCCGGTACTTTAAACAGCCAGCGCTACATCTCCGAGGTGTTGGAGCCAGTTGTCTTTCCTTACCTTCAGACCATATTTCAACAGGAAAATGTGCGACCACTCATGGCACGCATTGTCCAAAGGTTCTTCGTCAATCACCAGATTGAATTGCTTCCCTGGCCGGCTCGCTCTCCGGATCTTTCGCCGATAGAAAACATGTGGTCCATGGTTCCTCAACGATTGACTCAGATTACACCCCTAGCTGCCACACTAGATCAACCTTGGCAACGTGTGGAAGCTGCATGGTCTGCTGTACCCCAAGAACACATCCAAAGTATCTTTGAATCAATGCCGAGGCGTGTGGCAGCAGTGATCTCCAACAATGATGGCTACTCTGGCTACTGATTCTGGCAGGTGCCACACTTCACAGAAGTCTATAAATTTAATCATTTGATACTTGGTCAACATGTTATCTACAAAATAAATTTTGTTGTGCTATCTCTTGTCTTTCTTGGTGTTGCATTTACGGTGGCCAGCAGTGTACTATGCATTGTCTTTTTTAGATGCTATTTATTGATCATATGTATAAAACATGTAAACACATATATTCCCCAATAGCCCCACATAGTGGCTGCGGTAGCCTAGTGGTGAAGCTTACGAAGTCGTGGCTGGCATTTCATGAGTTCTAGTCTCGTACCGCTGAAAACTCGCCGAGTAGAGTGAGCAGATGCAAGTTAAATCGTCTAGGCTCAAATATACTCCCATTGGTGGGGTGTGGAAGTTAGGAGAGGATGATGCCAGCTCAGATGGTGAACTCGTCACTTGACAATGGTTCACAATTACGAGGTCCGTCGCCAATAGCCCTCGTGCAACGTTAGTTTGACTGACCCCCCCCTTGATGAGCATCAATAGTAGCTGATGTCAGGCAAAGAGATTAAGGTATCACATTAGCCACCCATCTAGCATAGCGGTTAGTGACGCTGATTCTTGTGCTGTAGGGCCTGGGTTCGAATCCCAGAGAAGGCATGGACGTTTGTAAATGTATAGTACTTTTGCGGTAAGAGGGTGGTCTAAATAAACTTCAAGCCGCGAGTCCTCTCGAGAGGCTGGTGGAATGTTCTATTCACTTCACTTTAATAAAATTTCGATTGGCCAAGCTGCAAAAATTAATTTGCATTATTAACTATCAAACAGTTTCTTTGGATTAAATTTTCTAAAACATATTTTGCATTTCCAATCACTTCTTATTAAATGCAAGAAAAAAATATATATTTTATGAATAGATAAATTTAATTTACGCCTAACAATTCACTGAAAAATGTCTCTTGAATTCATTTTGAATTGATAAGAAGTTTAAATATATAATTAGTATTCAAGAGGTAGTCTATAGTTAAGATATAAATTTGTATTATAATCACTTAAATAAAATTTAAACTCAGATATTACCACACAAAATGGCCATATTTCTTAATCACTTCTCGATTCATATTTTAAACATTTTTCTATAATGCTTTTTTTTTTTCGCTAATGAAAGCATTAGGATCTTATTGACTAGTAGACAAACTGCTCTGACTTACACTTATGCTTACTTCCGAATTCCTTTTGACTGAAGTTAGTCAGCATGACGGATTGAAACCATTGAATTTCGCTTGGTATTAGAGCCATTCCTTACTGAAAAATAATTTTTCTTACCACGAAAAATAAATTTATATTATTTTTCAATTCTTCCTACTTTATTAGTTAACTCTCCCCTTATATATATATATATATATATATATATATATATATATATATATATATATATATATATAACTTGCTCAAATTTTCAATCGTTAATAAAAAATACTGTCTATTCATCCATTCCAGTTCAAATACAGTTTTTTAAAATATTAATTCATTAATTAAATTGAAAAATGAATGTATAGTAACGTCACCCATCCGGTATAAGGGTTAGCGGTGCTATCTGCTGTGCCGTTGGGCCTGGGTACGAATCCCGGAGAAGACATGGATGTTTGTAAATGAATAGTGCCTTCGCGGCATGGGGGTACTTTAAATAGCCGTCGAGCTGCATGTCTTCTCGTGATTTTGGTGGAAAGGGAAGAGAGGTGAGAGGCGCCGGAACACCCCCAGGGAGTCCCCCCACAAAATTGGGGTGAAACCGAGCTAAATCACTCTGTGACCTGTATGGTGCTCAAAGCTACGGCTAACGACAGGCGTCACTTAGCCCTTTGCCATGATGAATTTCGTAGGCCTTCATCTGGCCTTTGCCGATCAGTGGCTTTAGTAACAACAACAGCATAAATAGTAACAAACAAAAATAATAGTCCAACAGCGTAGATAGAAAGGAAAGTTGTTTGTTGTGTCCCTGCAGTGCAATGGGTAGCGCATTTGACTCGTAATCCAAAGGTTGTGGCTTTTCATCCCACCTGGGATGGCCTAATTTCTGAGAATGGGGTTTCTTTTTTAGTATTCTATTTTATTATAATAATTAAATTTAATTAATGAATAAATAGTAACAACAACAAAAAAATAGTTCAACACCATATATAGAAAGAAAAATGAAAAATTGCAAGGAAAATCGCTTTCTATTTTGTCACTTTGTGAAGATCCCCTAGATCTCACTTTGAGAACGAGAATGATTTTGATTCTAAGAAGAACCAGTAGCCACATTTTAATGAATAACTTTCTTTATTTGGTTATCTTTCCCAAATAGAATCAAAGACTTTTAATAACAAATAATTTAAAATAGATATATGAGGTTTAAAAGGGACTTTCCTTTATATTAACTTAAATATTTAATGATCTAATTAATTAACAATTAGAATATCGATCACGCAGAGATTACCGCAATAAAAAAAAAAGAGATCCCAGATTTATATTCAATAATATTCCTATTGAACATTTAACTTTAATCTCACTCCTAATATAAAGCTATAATGAGACTTTAATTATAAATCAATATTTACCACACTGAATCTCAACTCTTCCTGAGATTAATTTATCCACCTAGAAATCTTCAATAATAAATCTCTAACTTCACTATTATATCTTCCTGCTTCAATCTCTCTCTCCTACTGCTTTTTACTTTACTATTCCGTTTGACTTAAACACTTTATCTAATCTGCATAATAAGGAATCCCTGTCCTCTTTTTGGAGCTGATTGGAAATAGGTAGGGAATTAAATTTCCCTAAAAAAGACGTCTCAGAAGGTTAGTGATAAAGTTCCGTATAGATTTGTCACAACTTAATATTGTGATTATGTCATATGTATATGCCTATTTATATTAATTGTAACTATTTAATAATTAGTAACTAAAATCAGGGACGTCTTACGACTTCTTGAGGTCCTGTGCCCCAACTCAAAAGTAGGCCCTGGGCCTCTACACAAATGTAGGCCCCGTCTATGATCCTTAAAAGTAGATAGTACATATAGCCTACGTTGTCAAATACTCGTACAAACAATAATAATAATGGTGTATGGCAGTGGCACAAACAAGGGGGTGTCTTAGGGGTCCGGACAAACTAAAATAAAATTTTTCTTTTTTGATCTAATTTTGTTCTTTTTTTATATTATTTGTTAAACTTAAGTATTATATCAAAACATTCCGTTAATTCTTCGTCATTCAGTTTTTTTCCATTGATTTTATGTGACTTTAGAATAAATTTAACAATCAATACATTGACAAAAGTACAAGGTCATCTCTATTGCTCTAATTTTGGAATAAATTATATTTAAATAATCCTTTTTTCTCTCGCAATACAAAAAAGATTTTTCTGATACTGTAGTAAATTTATTACATACTATCGCAACAGTGCCAAAGTACAATATAACTCGCCAACTCGACAAAAGTGATTTCGCATGTGTCGTTCGCGTTGAATTGACAATCTTGTGCTGCGTTTCACATAATGTCACCAATACGATTGTGATAGTACATTATTGAAAGCTCTCGCAGAAAAATATCGCAACGATTGCCAGGACTGGAATCGTTGGGTGAGAAGAAAGGCGTTGTCTCAAACGATGACTTATTAACAATCAATGGCTGAGTATAAGTACACCTCTATTTTGACTCTTCATATAGAATAAGGATTTCCAATACGAAAAAGCATTGTAGTATTTTATCCTAAATTATTATCTTCTTGTCTGATACTGGGATTGTTTCCTTTATAGGAATGAAAACTTTCGTATTTTGATTATAGCATTGAGATAAAAGGCACTAGCAAACTTCAAAATCGTAAAAATTTAGTTTGCTACTGAATATTGAAAGAATTTACCAAAAGAAAGGTTTTTTATTCAGTAGAAAAATATATGAAGAGTATTTGTCTATCATATGTTTTGTTTTTAGATTTATTGAAATTTATTAAAAGGGTTTTAAGTTATGGCTCACCTGATTCATCACCGGACAAGAGTAGTTAATTTTTTAAGAATTTTTCTGAAGGGATATAAATATAGACTAGGGATATATATATATATATATATAACATACGATGGTAAAGCTCTCTGTCGCGCAACACTGAAAAAGTAATTAATTATTCTATTGAAATAATTATTAAATTTGAGCTAAATTTTTATAAAGTAGATCACTTTAGTAAGCTCATCTGTTGCAAATAAAAAATAAAATACTTCAATGGAAGCTTTTGAATTTAAAGACTGGTCTATAAATTTTACTTATTTAGTGTGTTTCATTATCAAGTTGCTATTAATTTAATGCTAATCTTTTTCAATTAAATAAACAAAAATTACTAAAAAAGACCTTTTTTAAAATTTATTTACAAACACAATTGGAAGTATTTGTTTTATCTGATTTTGACTTTTCGTAATTTTGTTTTTAATTATGAAGAAAGATAAGATCCATTTTTACTCCTTACTTGAATACGAGAGAGAAAATAGTAACCGTTAAAAGCTGAACTGTGAAAGAAATTCCTATCACTTCCATTTCGTTATCTGCCATGAATGTTTTCCTTCATGTTTCTTTCATCGTTTTATCACGAAGTTCTTCGATACTCAACAGTTCAGTGCCAAAATTCTTGATTATAATTATGAAATTTCGACCAGGAAAAAGTCTAAAAATAGTAGTTGTTCAGTGAAATTGTTATTTTTAGAGGAAATTTTTCCACTCTAAAAAATATCGGAAGAAATAAATAAATGATGTCGGATCGTATATCAGAAATAAATGCACGTTGATTCTTAGCCGTCTTGGAAGGTCTGAACTTTGAATTATCTAAATGCGTGTGATATTTTGTATCCCAATACTTCTATATAAACTAAAATATAAATTCCTAATTAATTGTCAGCGTAATGAATGTTTCTTCAATTCTTAATTAAACATCGATTTTTGCATTTTGTTTAAATACTATGCGTAAACATACAGTATTTTTTTAATCTAAGCCATCCGCGACTCTAAGCCGTACCCCAAATTCTCAACACGGTTTTGTGAAAAAATTAAAAATAGTATAAAATGGTTCATCGAGATATCCAATATTTTTGAAATTAAAAAAAATACAGGAGGTCTAATAAGAAGTGAACATAAGTTAATTTATTTTACTAGTAATAAAATCTTTTAAATACATACATGGACCTGTAATTGCTCTAATCCAGAGTTTCTTAAACTAAGGGTCGGGCCTCAAATGCAGTTGCATGACTTGCTGCTGGGGTCACCAAAAATTTTAAGATTTTTGATACAATCTTTCGCATAAAATAACTTGTTCACCATTAATAAGAATAATAATTTAATTCCTTATTTAGATTCTTATTGTGAAAGCCAATGTATAATTTAACTGTTTAGTTGTATTCTTATTGCAGTATCGATCAAATGTAGAGAATATTGACGAAGTATTTCGTCCGGTGGTGTCAACCATTATTCCAAGATTTAATAAAAAAATTAAAAAATAATCAAGCACATCCTTTCCATTGATGCTTAAATATTGCATATACTATTGTTAATCAAACGTGATGATCTCAGAAGTGAACTCAAAATGACTACACTTCAGGCAGTGTTTCTCAAACTTTTAATATTTGCGACCCAATATTCAATCATACTTTTCATTGCGCCCCCCTCCATACAATAACAATGTATTGAATTCAATAATACTATACTTTGATCCTAAAGCTGCACTCTCTACTTAAACCTCTTAAATGCCACCGCCGTAGATAAACATCTCGCTCAGCGAAAGCGTTATTTTTACCGGACGTATATATATGTCTTTCTGAAGTACGATCTTTTCTGCGCACTGCTTTTTCATAAAATTGCTTCGAAGGCTATATGGAATGCAATAAAAGGACCTTGACAGTGTGTCCGGGGGCATTGGGAGCGAATTGCGTAACTTCTAATCGACATTTAAGGGATTAATTATAAACCGAACAAATGATCAAGAGAAGTGTTCATTTTTGCATGTAATTTTATATATGACAAGCCCTTGGGGTTAAAGGGAGTTATTAAACTTGTTCTTTACGTGGTATTGTTAAATTAATTATAAAATACATTGTGTAGCACTGATACATTTATAAGTGTTTTTTTTTTTTTCAGTGTAAGTATGTATTTATTTCTTATTATGTCGAAATATATTTTGTTTTCTTTTCGTAAATTAATAATTTTTTTTAAAAATAATCTTTTGTTTTCGACTTTTCAATACGCTTGCGCCCCCCTCGTAGAGTTATCACGCCCCCTTAGGGGGACGCGCCCCACAGTTTGAGAAACGCTGACTTAAGGTATCCGACTACCCTAAAATCATTTTTTTAAAAAAAACTGACAATTTTTTTTATAATTCTATTTTATAGGCCATCTCTTATTAGCTTTATAGAAATACCAAGTTTTTTTATTTTTCATTTGCTAGAACAAGAACTACAAGTGTTTTCGTAAAGGCAGATGCCATAACTTTGCATATGATGTCAAACTTGAAAACGCGTTTTACTCGAAATGTGTTTTTTTCGAAAATCTCAAACGGGGACAGCGATCGCTCAAAAAGTTTCAAAAATAATTTGCTGAACTTTTTTGTGTATGTTCTGTATAACAGTAGAAGTATTTTAGCCTTCAGATTTATCCATCACTATTTTATCACAAAATTTACAGTTCCTTATGTCAATATAATCACTGGCTTTTTATAAGCAATTTCATATAATAACTCAGATAAAGTGCTCTAGTTTTTGTAAAAAATAAAATATCTCTTATGCTGGAGGTCATTTCAAAAAGAAAAATCAAATTAATACATCAAAATTGTAAAATTAAGGCTTTGTTCATTTGCTATTTGTTCAGAGCGGGCCCCTTATGTAATTTTTGTCATTTTTTACCCATTTTATTAGTAATAATTTATTTTCTCTTCTTAATTTTAGCCTTTTTTTCTTAAAATGTACTAAATGAATCTAAAAACCACAAAAAATCTCCATATCTCCATTTTTAAAAAAAAAAGTTGTCGCAAGTAGTCGGATACCTTAATAAA